CCAACCTCCAAGGCGAGAAACCAACAGCTAGACATCTTTTTCGAAACTCACTCGAAACAGCAAAACACCACCTAATTTCGTGCCGAAAATGACGCAAAGTCGCAGCAAAAAACTGCCTAACGCGTCTTCTGAAATCCTAGAAAATCCTAGAGAATCCTAGACTAGGTCCTAGACTATAAATCCTAGAAAATCTTAGAGAAACCAACAGCTAGACATCTTTTTCGAAACTCACTCGAAACAGCAAAACACCACCTAATTTCGTGCCGAAAATGACGCAAAATCGCAGCAAAAAACTGCCTAACGTGTCTTCTGAAATCCTAGAAAATTCCTAGAGAAATCCTAGACTAGGTCCTAGACTATAAATCCTAGAAAATCTTCGAGAAACCAACAGCTAGACATCTTTTTCGAAACTCACTCGAAACAGCAAAACACCACCCAATTTCGCGCCGAAAAGGACGCAAAATCGCAGCAAAAAATTGCCTAACGTGTCTTCTGAAATCCTAGACAATCCTAGAGAATCTTAGACTATAAATCCCAGAAAATCCTGCAGCTGCCGGTGCTGGTGCTGTCGTCCGCTGGTGCTGTCGTCCGCTGATGCTGCTGCTGCTGCTGCTGCTGCTCTTGCTGTTCCTGCGCTGCTGCTGCTCCTGCTGTGCCATCAACCAGCCTCCAAGGCGAGAAACCAACAGCTAGACATCTTTTTCGAAACTACGAAACAGCAAAACACCACCTAATTTCGTGCCGAAAATGACGCAAAGTCGCAGCAAAAAACTGCCTAACGTGTCTTTCTGAAATCCTAGAAAATCCTAGAGAATCCTAGACTAGGTCCTAGACTATAAATCCTAGAAAATCTTAGAGAAACCAACAGCTAGACATCTTTTTCGAAACTCACTCGAAACAGCAAAACACCACCTAATTTCGTGCCGAAAATGATGCAAAGTCGCAGCAAAAAACTGCCTAACGTGTCTTCTGAAATCCTAGAAAATCCTAGAGAATCCTAGACTAGGTCCTAGACTATAAATCCTAGAAAATCTTCTTCGAGAAACCAACAGCTAGACATCTTTTTCGAAACTCACTCGAAACAGCAAAACACCACCTAATTTCGTGCCGAAAAGGACGCAAAATCGCAGCAAAAAACTGCCTAACGTGTCTTCTGAAATCCTAGAGAATCCTAGAGAATCTTTCCTAGAGAATCTTAGACTACAAATCCAAGAAAATCCTGCAGCTGCCGGTGCTGGTGCTGTCGTCCGCTGATGCCGGTGCTGGTGCTGTCGTCCGCTGATGCTGCTGCTGCTGCTGCTGCTGCTGCTGCCGGCTAGACATCTTTTTCGAAACTCACTCGAAACAGCAAAACACCACCTAATTTCGTGCCGAAAATGACGCACAAAGTCGCAGCAAAAAACTGCCTAACGTGTCTTCTGAAATCCTAGAAAATCCTAGAGAATCCTAGACTAGGTCCTAGACTATAAATCCTAGAAAATCTTAGAGAAACCAACAGCTAGACATCTTTTTCGAAAATCACTCGAAACAGCAAAACACCACCTAATTTCGTACCGAAAAGGATGCAAAATCGCAGCAAAAAACTGCCTAACGTGTCTTCTGAAATCCTAGAGAATCCTAGAGAATCTTTCCTAGAGAATCTTAGACTACAAATCCCAGAAAATCCTGCAGCTGCCGGTGCTGGTGCTGTCGTCCGCTGATGCCGGTGCTGGTGCTGTCGTCCGCTGCTGCTGCTGCTACTGCTGCTGCTGCTGCCGCTGCTCAAAAGCACCTCCCGGCACCAAAACAGCCGTTGCTGCTGTGTCATCAACCAGCCTCCAAGGCGAGAAACCAACAGCCAGACACCTTTTTCGGAACTCACTCGAAACAGCAAAACACCACCTAATTTCGTGCCGAAAATGACGCAAAGTGGCAGCAAAAAACTGCCTAACGTGTCTTCTGAAATCCTAGAGACTCCTGCAGAATCCTAGACTATAAATCCTCGAAAATCTTAGACTATATATAGTACTGGCTGCTTGCTGGCTGCTGCAGAAACGTCGGTCCCGGACAAGGAAACACTATAGCAGTGCAAGACGGAGGCAGCTGCAGCTGCAGCTGCCGCTGCTAGTGCTGTCGTCCGCTGCTGCTGCTGCTGCTGTTGCTGTTCCTGCGCTGCTGCTGCTGCTCCTGCTGTGCCATCAACCAGCCTCCAAGGCGAGAAACCAACAGCCAGACTTCTTTTTCGAAACTCACTCGAAACAGCAAAACACTACCTAATTTCGTCCCCAAAATGACGCAAAATCGCAGCAAAAAACTGCCTAACGTGTCTTCTGAAATCCTAGACAATCCTAGAGAATCTTAGACTATAAATCCTAGAAAATCCTGCAGCTGCCGGTGCTGGTGCTGTCGTCCGCTGATGCTGCTGCTGCTGCTGCTACTGCTGCTGCTGCTGCTGCTCTTGCTGTTCCTGCGCTGCTGCTGCTCCTGCTGTGCCATCAACCAGCCTCCAAGGCGAGAAACCAACAGCTAGACATCTTTTTCGAAACTCACTCGAAACAGCAAAACACCACCTAATTTCGTGCCGAAAATGACGCAAAGTCGCAGCAAAAAACTGCCTAACGTGTCTTCTGAAATCCTAGAAAATCTCCTAGAGAATCCTAGACTAGGTCCTAGACTATAAATCCTGGAAAATCTTAGAGAAACCAACAGCTAGACATCTTTTTCGAAACTCACTCGAAACAGCAAAACACCACCTAATTTCTATCGCATCCGCTAACGGCAAAACATCCACATCATTTCACGCATCCGCAACAGCAAAATCGTTTCACGCATCCGCAACAGCAAAACACCACCTAATTTCGTGCCCACAGCGTAGCAGAGGAACCCCACAAAGAAGCCTAGCGTTACCTCTGAAACCCGACTAAAATTGTTGAGAAAGACAAGCACGAGCTGCATGGCTTTCTAACGCATCCGCAATGACAAAATACCACATCATTTCGCGCATCCGCAATCAAAACCACATTAAAAAACTGCCTAACGTGTCGTCTGAAATCCTAGAAAAACAACCTTTTTCGAGAGATCGAGGGATTCTGTTGCCTGCAGCTACTGGCAGTAAAACGTGGCAGTGAAGGACGGAAAAGCGTCAAAAGTATGCCTATAACTACTTTTTCCTGCTGGCAGTACTGCTGGCAGTAAAACAGCTTCGAAAAAAGCAGCTGCCGGCAGGAAAACACCAAACAGCTTTGAAAAAGTGTCAAAATCACGCTAAAAAACCTTCTACCATCCCTTCTGAAATCCTAGAAAAACACCATTTTTCGAGAGATTCTATCGCCTGAAGGTGTTCGAGATCTCGCACCAAGTTACCATCGAACTTGAACCTCGAGGATGCGGCCTCGAACGAACAAATCAGAGCGGGAAGGGCAACCCAAGGAGCCCCACGTACCTCGAGGAGACTCCGGGAAGGACCCCCCACCGGTAAAACAAAAACCCCGGAGTCAATGAATCGACGTACGTGACCGGTGGGAGGGGGACCCAACAGGGTCCCCCGGCAAAGGGTCATTGTTGTTGTTGTTGTTGTTGTTGCTGTTTCTGTTGCTGTTGCTCTTGCTGTTGCTGCCATAAAATAAAATTAAAATAGAATCCTGCTGCCTGCTGCCTGCTGCTGCCTGCTGCTCCTGCCTGCTGCTGGCTGCTGCCTGCTCCTGCCTGCTGCTGGCTGTTGCTGGCTGCTGCTGGCTGCCTAACGCCGGCTGCTGCTGGTTGCTGCTGCCGGATGCTGCCTGCCAGACACCTACTGCTGCCTGCTGCTGGCTGCTGCTGGCTGGTGCGGGCTGCTGCTGGCTGCTGCTGGCTGCTGCCTGCTGCCTGCTGCTGCCTGCTGCTGCCGGCTTAAACTATATATAGTACTGGCTGCCTGCTGGCTGCTGCAAAAAACGTGGGTCCCCGACAGGGAAACACCATAGCAGTGAAGGACGGAGGCAGCTGCTAACGTGTCTTCTGAAATCCTAGCGAATCCTAGAGAATCCTAGACTATACATCCTAGAAAATCTTAGACTATATAGTGCTGGCTGCCTGCTGGCTGCTGCAAAAACGTGGGTCCCGGACAGGGAACCACCATAGCAGTGAAGGACGGAGGCAGCTGCAGCTGCAGCTGCTGCTGCTGGTGCTGTCGTCCGCTGATGCTGCCGCTGAAACAAGAGTCAAAAGTATGATGCTGCCGTTGAAACAAGAGTCAAAAGTATTATTCCCTGGCGCGCTCCCCCTTGCGTCTGCCGGGGTCGGCGGATATATATATATATATATATATACATATATATATATATATACATATACATATATATATATACATATGTATATATATATATATATCCAACTAGCATAAACTAGCAATCATAGCCTTGCAGCCATGAAGGCAGACAGTGCTGGAGCTGTTATTGGTAGCTACAGCAGACCACGAATTCTGGGGAATCGAAATGGGAAGAACCAAATAAGGGAAGATGGGGACATGGTTTTGGTAATTATCACTGGATGGAAGCAGGAGTGATGGTGGAACCAATCAAAATGGGAACCAGAGTCACTAGAGCCAGTCAACATGGGAAATACCACCAAAAAATAGGTAGAAGAACCAAACCAGATAGCGGTTTGGAGAAGATCGACCAAAATCTCTGTGGTTTAAGGTTAAGGGTTGTTTTTTTTTGCTTTTTGACGCCATTTGACGTGGTGGGTTTTGCATTGAAATCTGAAAAGGGTAATGCGACGGTTAAAAGAAAGTACATAGTTCGATGATTCTTAAAGTTGGCCGTCCGACTCTGCCTCTCCGGCTGCAACAAGACTTGCCAAAAGTAGATGGCTCCCGTTGATCGAGGTAACATTCAATACCTTTGTGGTGATGAGTCACCATTACATCATGAAACCACAAAAAAAAACTGTTTTCTCAGTTGAGAAGCACCATGCTTGCCTGATATTGCCTGTATCCTTGTCGCGGGAGTCCCCAAAATTCAACGCTTTCCAGAGATCGTCAGGAAGTGGAGGACGAGATCGCCGCGTTGAACACCCACCTGGGAGATTTGAAGTTGGTCGTCCGCAACGGCAAATGCTGTCAGGGAGCTGAGACACCGACACCGGAAATCCTGGACTGGGCAAAAATCGTTTTCGAAACATCCCAATGAAGTATGCTTGGAATGTTGAAGAACTTTGGGGATTTGCCAGAATTACCCTCCAGTAAATTAACATAGACCCTGAAAATAGCCTAGTTTTAATGGAAACTAGTCTTCCAACCCCGATGACTGCCAGGGTCCAACTGTTAATTTACCAGAGGGTACAATGAATTACCCAAGTTTGTTGGGATTGATGCAGATTGATGCAGATTGTGGTCCCGGAAAGGTCGTCGGACTGGCGACCGAGGTGACAAGACGGATTTATGGAAAGTGGGTGCTGACAGCCGCGGCCTTGGGAACCGCTGGAGAGCCACCAAAAAATCTCTTCAGATGGGTTTTTCTATAGGGAATTGTATAGGAACTAGATGGAACAAGTGATTGAAGTGATTGAAGTGCCCATAGAACAAGTCGACCAAGTCACTCATAGAAACTCAAGTCATTCTCAGGGATTTGATCAATGACGCTTGGGTAAACCTTGGATTAATATGTTTTTTCCTGTGGAATACATGGGAATACATGGGAATACATGCATCAATGTTGGTTTTGTCTAGGGTATTCAGGATTAGCTATGTGTAGCATTCTCGTCCATGTAATTGGCAATAGGCCCTGTTCGGGAGACTCCAGTCATGCTGTTGCATGTTCCAATGTTGACATTGGCTGGTGATAGGGCCTGGCCTGAATTTCCATTGGAAATGTTGGGATGTTGCCGTTGCTTGGACCAAAAAGCCTGGTGTTCACTTCACCCCAGGTGCAACTCGCATTGTGATCCCAGAGAATCCATTAGCTGCTCGCCTCTGACGACCGGAACAAAATGCGCATGAAGTATCCGATACTTCACATTCCTCAAGACTGTTTTCCTATGTTTTCCTCAGAATATGTTGAGAAAAGGGGGGTGGTGGGCCTTATTTTGTGAACCCTCAAGGCGTTGGAACCATTTGCAAAATCCATTGAACTACAGTAGATGGACGAAAATATCGAACCCAACCATGCAAAGTTTGCCCCCCGCCCCCCTAATTTCAATGTTGCGTTTTGGTTGCGTGGTCGGCGCCGGTGGACAAGAATGTATCCGATCACTGACATTGAAATTTTGGGTGTCCGGTTGTTCTTACTTGACCTCTTCAGGGCATCGTATATGTCCTGATCATGATTGCCGGAATTCAATCCAATTGTTCTGACATGTTGTATGCATCATATCTATATGCAGTATGGTTTGAAATTAGAATCAACAAGTTCGCAAAGATGAGAAAGTGTGAAAATACAGTTGTTGTTTGTTGGAGGTCGAGTGGGCTGGGTGACATAGATGTCATATACATTAAAATACAATTAAAACGAAAAATAATAGAACAGATTACACAACACGGAGGATCAAACAAAAAACACGAGAGAAGGGCTGAAGGGCATCCGAACTTAAATACTTGTGTAACTTTGGGCCCATTGCGAGAAGCTGAAGATAGTTCAACACAGTTTCAAGCAGTTCCGAAATAGATTCAAAAGCCTGATTCACACCATAGGTGCATTGCAGAAACCTCGTGTTCTTTGATGTCTTTTGAACCATGCCACTCAAACATTAGTTCGGAACGATTCTGAACGGTTCCGAATCGCAAAAAGTCCTGGACTATTTGGAACTATGTGGCACGCATCATGACGCATCCATTTTTTGGCGTCCATAGTTCAGAACTGTTCCGGTTCCGACCTGTTCATCACAATTAGCGTCAATATAGCTCATAATGGGTCCAAACGGTTCCGGATCATTTGTAAACACGCTGTTTATCATGTCTTAAGCAGTTTTTTAAAGCAGTCAACGGGGTACCTATGTTTCCCCTCAACATTGGAATAAATTTATGTTCCATGATTGATCATCTTCGTGACTTTTGCCCCGCCAAACTGACTCTTCCGAGTGGGGTGAAGTTCTAGCCGCAAAAAAAATCATGTGTTGATCTCATTCGTCGGCACTGCAATGAATACTCCTGCTGCTTCCCAAGTGTTCACTCAAAAGTGGGAAAAACAAGCAAGACTTTTCTACTGGCATTCACTAATTACTAGCCTATCGCTCTTCTAACCAATGAATCCTCCGAAAAGCCAGAATGAAGTCGAAATAACATTTGTCATCGCACTGTGCTGTGCAATCTTGATTCATGCATCATATTGATGATATAGGTATTGTATGTGTATATCAAAGCCATTGTACTTACATACAGATTCATGAATCACATATGTCATCGCAATTCTGTACAAACAAGGCCTACGCACCTGGAGTTAATATTAATAAACATAACATTGTGTAGCAGCCAGACATGAGGCACCAAGACGCATCATGAAGCAGTGCTGGATATGATATTTAAACGATATCATATCCAGATACACATTACACGTTTCACTTTACTCAACTCGTGTTGTGTTTACTCAGCGTTGTTTTTTACTCATCACCAGGTGTCTTTGGACGAGTCGGATGCTGCAACCATGGGCATCCTGCTGACCTTAAAGAGCCAAGGAAAATCAGGCCGCCATGTGTTTGAACACTTGGGTTAATCATATGATATATATGGGATACCAGCCATGGACCAATCAATATTGATAAATGGTTCATCATGGTTGATCAATGATAGTGTGAATCAATCTTAATCGATAGTTAATCAATGTTAATCATTCCATGCCATGGTTCATCAATGTCAAGTCTATCCCATTTTCAAGCAAACACAGATTCCAGCAGATGGCAGATGTTAGAACATGTTGGAAAGATATCAGGTGTCATTTGGCTATGGATCAATACCTATACATACCATTTTTAGGGGGATGAACATCCATTTACCAGCTATTTTGATGTTCACCAGGGGTACAAGGTTTTGACCCATCCCCATTTACCCTTTGAAGAACCAGTTTTTCGTTGGGGGGAACCATGGGAAAATCTTGGCCGCAGGTTGGCCCAACAACGGTTACGTGGCAGTTCAATGCTGCCTCGGCCGAAACGTTCCTGGGTTGACAAATCTCAGTCGACAAGAGGCATCATGATAATTTATAAAAGATAATGATAAGCAGAATAATGATGTCATCATGATGTCATCATGGATAATGATCATGAGAATCATAGATATAGTGATAGTCATAAATAATGATGATAACAAGACAAGCAGCCTGGAAACTGTACCTCCAACATCGTTGTACGATGTTCCGAAGTGGAGCTCGGCGGATGCCGCTTGAGTTCTTCGTTGAGTGTGCCGTGTCCAGTGGTGTCCCAATTTTTCGGCATTGAAAAAACACTGAAAAACATGTTTAAAAAAATGTTGGTTTATGTTGGTTTATGTTGGTTTCGGGTTCCCAACTTGATCTTTTTGTCCTTATGCAATTTGTGCCATCCAGGTCAGCTACATGAAAGAACTCTATGACAAGACGTACATTCTCTCTGGAGAGCGCTTAGGGCGAATCATGGTCCAAAGTGTGCAGGACCAAGGCGCAGCGGCAGCGCTGACGTTCTGCGCCGGCAGGTAGTGGATCGATAGCCGATCATAGCATGGAAAATGGAAATGGTATGGAAATGGTATAGAAATGGTAAAATGATACTGAATTCATCAGATTGCATTGATGTGGTTCTGTCTGGCATATGTCTGGGAGGATTAGGATAGCATTGAACTCACAACAGAACATGCCAAGTGAGACTGCTATGCCAAGCTGGTTGCATACGCTGGCTGTTTTCGAGGTTTTCCCACCTCAAAAATCATATATATATACATATATATATTTTCAGATACATATATATGTATATATTCATATGCTCGTTGTCATTGTTGGTCATTGCTGCTTGCCCTCGTAGGCTTGTGTTCAGTCTTCAACCAGCTGGTTGGCTTTAGCGGTGACGAGTTCTACGTGGCTCCGGCACAGGACTGGCCACCGGTGACCCTTCAGCTGCGGAACTGTTCTGCGTCAAAGATTGGATGGAAGTACTGTGTCAAAGCATACGCTGTGCTCAAACCACCAAGAGGCTGTGGAGAAAATGTGTTGGACTAGATGTATCTTGGATCCTGTGAAAGTTGATGTAGCTAGAAAGTTGTGTCCATTTTCCAGCTCCTTTCGCTAGGAGCTGGGCGTGGTGGGAACAAGCTTCCGCGAGCTGCTCATTTGAAGATGGCTGGGTGATGTTCAATGATCTTCACTAGGAAATCAGTCCTGCAAAGACTCCTCTCGGGATTTGGGGACAGATGTTTTGGAGGCTGAAAAAAGTCCAGCAAATCAACATAGACCCTGAGCATAAACATGTCCGAGCGGAAAGTAATCTGCCAATCCCACTTGTTTGGCAGGGTCTATGTTAATTTGGGAGTATATACACTGCAGATTTCAGGTGTTTTGGAACCAATATCTCACGCAGCTCCCATCCAGAGGATCTGCAGGGGTTGATTCAACAGTAACTTGCCATGGGATCACAACATCAAGCGGGGCAACAGCCCAAAAAAAATGGGAGGCAACAGGTAGAAAAAAATGGTCAAGGTCTTTCACCGGAGGATAAAAATGGTAGAACTGCATCCAGCCCAAGCCCTGAGGCTTCCATTTTGGTTTCCCATCACGGTACCCTTGGGGGTCCTCATGGCCGATGGAACCTACTTGGTGAATCCAGACAAGTCGCGGCCTGTCGGAATTTCTGTGCCAAGGGGGTGCACTGTGTTTGGCAGGCATTGGGTGTGCAATATATATATATATGCGTATATATATATATATATGCGTATATATATATATATATATGTCTATGTATGTGTATATATATATATATGTATATATGGAACATCCCCAGTTTTATATGGAATTTGAACAGTTTTTGCCATTTAGTGACTTACTAAGTGGCACATCAGTATGAAGGGGTTGGAACCTTGGAACATCTGAGTTGGCCTTTCTTGTGGCACCCAACGACCTACTAGAAAGTTCGGCCAAGGTATGAAGTGCAGCCTGAGGACTGAGGGACTGGGACCGGAAATTGGATTCCCAGAGGTTGGCCCAAGAATTGGGAACCACTTGGAACCACTTGGAACCACTTGGAACCATGCTTTCACTTCGTTTCATTCGTTTCATTCATTTCATTGGCCTATCATTCGCCTTCCAGACATTGTCCTCGACTCATTGCACCAGGATTCTGTGATCCTCTTGGCAGATGATGATGATGCTGTGCCCTGTGAAAACTCAGCAAAAGCAGGAAAAACATGTTTATTTACATGTGTATATGTGTATATGTAGTCATAAACAATAGACATAGATACATCGCATGACAGTACGTTGTCTGCAAGGGTACTGCGCACATAGGTACCTGCGTACCTACATACATACAAACATATGATTGCGTGTGTGTGTGTGTGCCTACACAAACTCATACAGGTGCAAACACATATACATGTAAATCTATATATATTATATATATATGTGTGTATACACACGTAATCATCTATATACGCATGATAATATGTGTAACTATAATCACAGGTGTGTATATATATATATATACACTCTCTATTTATTTATTTATTTAATTTATTTATTTAGAGCATGCTCCCTCCCTTTCAGTTCCAGGTGCAGCCAGTTGATTCTGCTCCCTTTTTTGACTATGCGACCTGGTCCTCGCAGCGTGCTGCAGCAAGTTTTCAAGAGGCCGCCCCAGTTCTGACTTAAATCTTTGATGGATCGGGGGACGTTGACCCCAGATGAGCAGTCTTCAAAACCCCTGTTGGTTGATGATTGGTTCGGGGATTACACTATCGAATATTTTGAGAATTATCACAATCAAACAGTAGAATGGAATGAGGGCTGTGAACAATGCTCAGATGAAGAAAGCTGGATTGCTGTGGTGGTTCTCCTTTGTACCATTGCAATGGCAAATTTTTGGGTTGGATGTCAATCCATAGATAAAGCAAGGGTAATCGGAAGGACCTTGAAAAGGTTGGCACCTTTTTGTGCAAGCAAGGCAGCCATCTGACAGCATCTTAAAGCCCCACCTGAGAGTTTGAAGCTGACTCTCCCACATCTAGCTAGATATGTTGGTTATATGTTGGTTATATGTTGGATATATGTTGGTTATATGTTGGATATTTGATGTTATTGTTGATGTAAAAAAGTTGATGTTATTTGGGACTTGACCATGTTTGACCCCAAATTTGGAATGCGGCGCGAGGCAAATCCCAATGATGGGGAGACTGTGAAGGCGTGTCGAAGGGTGACATCCCAATGTTTTGAGAGTCCCAGTGACATCATTGGAATCATCAACTGAATAACGACTGAATAACGACCAGTGATGATCAAATGATCAGAGGCAAAATTTCATAGAAATGCGAAATCCTTCAGAAAATAATGGCACGGAAGGGTTGCGAAAGGGGTTTTGCAAGGATTTTGACTGACGAAAGTTTCGAAGAAGTGATGAAACAACACTGAACTCTAAGGGCAGGTACTGTAATATCGATTGGCTTAGTATCGGTGTTTGAGATTGTCATCAGTGCTTCTAAAGTTGGCTTTTGGTGTTTTCAATGATGACATCAAGCGAGACATCAAGCAGAGAAGTTTTGGAATCACATTTCATGTTCGTTAGATGAATTATTGATATATATATATATATACATATATATATATATATGCTACTCGTATCCATATATCACCATTACAATTATTCGAGAGACACCAAAATCCCATGGGCCCATAATCAACTAGGCCATGCTTTTCTTCGGTGCTCACGGTGCTGAAAACCGCAACTTTGGATGTGCCATTCTGTCATTCGGCCGGTAGCCATTGGACACTTAGACTTTGAGCATGTTTGGGGGGATTTTGTATCCTTTGGTAACATCATTTAACTGGAAAATCACCCATGTTAATAGCTAAATCAGATTTCATCATCTGTAAATTGGCCATTTTACAGTTGGCAGTGTGTCAAAACCTTGTACCCCTGGTGAACATCAAAATAGCTGGTAAATGGATGTTCATCCCCCTAAAAATGGTATTAATAGGTATTGATCCATACCCAGTTGGCAAAGTCCTAAATGACAACAAAAAAACGGAGAATCGGTGAAACCCCAACGCCAACCTGATAAAACCTGGCACTGCAGGTTCGCCCTTGATGAGATGGCTGGTCCAGGTTCTCAAGTAGATGCCTGTCGTGGATGGGGATTGGGGCACCAGAACTGCATCAACTTTGCAGATTTTTTCACTATACATGTAGATTGAAATTAGATAAAGATGTACATTAAAAACCATCCATCATTTGACATCAGTACACATATATTCACAACATTATACCTTGTTATGCATGTTTGTATATCATTTTTAGTTACACAATAGTATACTGGATCGTTTTGTTCAGCATGCAACATTATTATCAACTATCATTATCATAATTGTGACCAT